CCGATCTGCCACTACCTTAAGAAGACCGCTGCAGCTACTTATACCTATTGAGTTGACATCGTCAAGCGAATATAACAAAGTTGAAACAACGATCAGAGACCTTAATCCTGAGGCTGAAGAATTTGTACCACGAAGAGTGAGACGAGAAGGAGCTATAAACGGAGAAATTCGTAGAAAACGGGCTATGAACATATGAACACGCGAACAGTGAACATTAACTTTATGTTGTTGATTCGTTTGAACAAATCAATCCGGGGAGTGTAAAGAACTTCCATTAAGATCAAATTAAGTATCCACAAAAACATTAACTCTAATAGATTGCGGGCGCAAGTCGTGTGTCTTGTCCATAGATATAGGAGACTCTTGTCACGTTTTCTATTCGTTTTAAGAAGGGTTTCAAGGGTTAAAATTAAAGACAAATTATATTTCGTTTAAATCGCCGTAAATTTGATGAATAAGTCGAACGTTTATTACATAGAGTAAACTAAATTGATATATAATAAAATAAAGGAATAATAAACCGATAAGTCATGTCGACAAAAACTTAGGTGCAATATATAGTATTAAAAACTCTGTGTGTAAGACACTCATCAACCGAGCGAAAACAATTTGTGAGGTAAGTAACATTGACGATGAATTAGAACATTTAAGAAATGTTCTAAAAATGAATGGTTACCCACGGCATTTCCTAGATAATGCTATGAAAACACCACAAAGTATACAGCAGAAGATTGAATATCAGTCGTCTGTTTGTCTACCATACATTGGTCGGTTTCACACAAAATCGAAAGAATTTTGAGGAATGAAGCAGGTATAAAAATATACCATTCCAGCGAAAACAAATTGTTTCGAGCTCTTTGCACACATAAAGACAACGTAAATGAATCTCAGAAACCTGGTGTGTACCACATTCCTTGTGAATGTGGTCTGGTTTACATTGGTGAAACTGGTCGAAATCTCTCAATAGGTCTTAAGCCCTGATTCCACGAGCGCTTTTTGTCGAAATATTTCGCCTGTTTCTTTTGAATTGCGACCACTCGAATAAATTATTTCTACTTGATTGCTCACAATTCAAAAGAAACAGGCGAAATATTTCGCATTTAGCCGAGAAAAAGCGCCCGTGGAATCAGGCCTTTACATCCCAACCAAGAGCCTTCGCTAGAAACGTCGAATTTCTGTTTAATATATTTTTCAGGGAGTTGTTACATCCCTGACACCTCAGCAGTCTCATATCGTCTCTGCCTACACTTGGTACCAGCCGTTCGAGATTCTATGTGATGTGCTTCATGTTGTGTAACAACCCCACACCAGGCGTACACACATCAACCAGAAGAAATTATGTGAAATTTATAAACTAATTGAAATTATATTGCGTTGGATACAGATGTACTGTTCACCCTAGAGAATACTTTGATGGTCCAGTGTTTAATACTAGAGAAAACCGGAGATTTTGGACAAAACCATGCAATGTTTCGCAAAATTAAACTGGAAGTAATCACATGCGACTGAGGTGAATCACAACGAGATAACTGCATATTAGACAATCACCCGCTGTAATTGACTTAATTAATCATGTTGCGGTGTTTCTCTTAAGTATTTTCTTCCGTTTTTTTAACTCTGTACATGTACCTTTGACGAAGCTATTAAATTTAAATTAAAAATTAAGCCGAACTCCTGTCAGGCTATCTTCTAACAATCCAAATTGTGAAAATTTGTGCAGCATTTGAACGTTACTTGAGACAGATTTTTCTTAAGACGTCAGTACACATACTATCTTCGGACTCGTAAGATTGAATATTTCGAATGCGCATTCTATATTGCACAACCCTAAACAGACACCATACTAATAGGTTTCAGGAATCACGAGGGTTTTTCTCTCGTAGTGGTTAATAACACGCGTCTTTCACCTTTTGACCCGAGCTGGATTCCCGCGACGTCCAGTCATCTGATCATAAATTACGCCTCAGTGGCATGCAAGTGAATCAATTTGATTCTACAAGCCATGGCCCTTACTGGACCTCTAGAGGAAACAGTTTAAAACTGATAGAGCTATCTGGTGTAAATAAAATTAGTTTGGTTTCGCTTAGCAAGTCGAGTCACCAATAGAACATGTAAGAAATGTACAAGAGCGGAAGCCGGACATATAAACCACATCGTGCTCCTACTGTGAAATAGAAACGTTGGACCACTCGCAGTCTGCAGCGATAATGTTCATAGGCATCGCATTTATTGCTCGAAACACTGCGTATAATGTCAAAATGAGGAAGTGTAATGTCTGAATCACAGCATATAATAAGTACGCATCGATTGAAGCGCCATCACAGTCTCACTTGAGAATGTTAGACTTTTCACACGCATACAAGCACGCTCGACACAACACTAAAATCACAACCACCTGCGCAAAACGCGGTCAATTCGTAAGTGACGAGCGCAAAATATGCAAATTTTCACATGAACCGGAAATAGAGGGCATTTCTTGTGTCGTCTGCTGATAACTCGACTAAATGCTACAAGATAAGCCAAGATCGCAAAATACTAAAAACCCAATAATGTACGGCACAAATCGCGCGCAAAATGTTAATTAAGTAGGTTTAAACTAGTACAAACTCACCATGCCAGTACATAGATCAAAAACAGCTGACGACGCGGAATCGTTGTGTACCCTCCCCCGATAATAACAATGTGAGAGGTCAGCACCGGAGGGAATTGATTCCGAATGATTACCGGAGTAATGTTCGATGCTGAACGAAGGCGCGATGAACCTTTTCTCTGGTTTAAGGACGAAGTGAAACACTTTTCCAAAAGTTGTTAAATTGTAGCGAATCTCTCGTTCTTGGTGTCTCTGTGTGAATGTTAGGAAATGGTTTGATTTGTGTGAAGTTGCATTGGATGTGGTTCGTTGAGGAAATGCTATGTCGATGATTTCAAACGTGTTCGATGTCTCGGTTTGCGCGTCTAGAAATTAAAACAAAATCAAAATAAATTGCGTCAAATTATTGGGTACATCAGTTAGGAATTAACAAGTAGCCTTATTCAGAGCCATTTCATATGGAAAGTCTAACACTATATCGTCAACATAAATAAAGGTTAACTTTTGCCCTCGGCCTAGCGGATTCCAGAGTTCTGTTCGCGAAATATGCACCTTGAAATCCTGATTGACTCAACGTTACGTTGATAACACAATATTGAATTCTTAAACAATCTTGCAAGAATACAAGTTTGTATTTATGAAATTGTGTTTCCTTTGGGCGGCTAAGAAAACACTGTTTACAAACGTCTAATATTTTGATACAGTAATCCAACAAGGATACATGCAACAGTTTGAGCTGGCTAATTTGCAACATTCCCACAAGTAACAGTTTTTTAGGCGTTAAAATTATAAGGTCACTTACTATCGTTGAACTGTAGACGGTGTTCGTTGGCGACTGTACGAGTTTGAAAGAATGCAGCGAGCTGAATTAGCAGTAACCATGTGCTGGTTGATGGCAGATCCATTGGTACGCGTTGATGGTGATTGGTTCTGTCCCAATGTGGCTGGTCTCGGGAGAAGTGTTGTTTGGACTACAGCGGTAGCAAGCGAGGTTACGAGTATAGAATGACCAAGACGATCCGTTGATAGTGTACACGGCAGGTCGGCCCCTCAGGGTATGCAAGAGCTGCCCAATCAAAACAATGTCTTAACGAAAGCACGGTGTGTGAAACAACAAACACCCTAGAATGTAAAGCAAAGTTAGAACACACACAACAGCAAGTACGAGAGACTGTATTACTACACATGTATTACATGGATATATTCGCTAGCTTTCCCAGGTCATCGCGTTCAAGATTGTAGCCTAATTTGCAGCAGCTTGCGACAAGCGATAGATAACCTGGACTGGAATCATGGACTCAACGAAGACGCAAGTCACTGGTCACTGTTGATAGTTCACAACTCAAAAAAGAAAATAAACACATCTATTTGTTTTGTGGATCAGTAAGGCCGGATATTCATTAGTACAATAATATTTCTATAAAAAATAAGCAATAAAGTCGAGCTTATGCGTGGGTTATACTACCCCTCAGTAATCCTTTGCGATTTTGCTCTGAATTGAGAACTTTATTTTCCAACTAATAAACTTAACTCACACTTAAACTTGACTTGCAGTTTAGCCGAAAACAAATGAACCTTAAGGCGTATGAAAGCTACACCGGAAATATTTGGCTTTTAGCCACCTGAAACTCTTGACATTTTCTAAACTATTTCCCTATTTATGACACCCTCGAAAATTTTCTTCTGGATAAAACATTTCCCCTCAGGAAAGAAAAATTATTAGCAACAAATGAGATTATTGTTTCGCAAACATTGTTTTACTTTGTTTTTAAACTTTAATCTGTATGTTTGAACTTGGCACAGTCAGTATCTCTGTTGTGAGTTGCCAATTTATTCTACAGTTCCTGGTTTGTCCACCTTCAGGAAACATGGCTAGGAAACAATGTTTTCTGGTTTGTCCACCTTTGGAAACATGGCTAGGAAACAATGTTTTCTGGTTTGTTCACCTTTGAGAAACATGGCTAGGAAACAATGTTTTCTGGTTTGTTCACCTTCAGGAAACATGGCTAGGAAACAATGTTTCCTGGTTTGTTCACCTTCAGGAAACATGGCTAGGAAACAATGTTTCCTGGTTTGTTCACCTTCAGGAAACATGGCTAGGAAACAATGTTTCCTGGTTTGTCCACCTTTGGGAAACATGGCTAGGAAACAATGTTTCCTGGTTTGTCCACCTTTGGGAAACATGGCTAGGAAACAATGTTTCCTGATTTGTCCACCTTCGGGAAACATGCTAGGAAACAATGTTTCCTGGTTTGTCCACCTTTGGGAAACATGGCTAGGAAACAATGTTTCCTGGTTTGTCCACCTTTGGGAAACATGGCTAGCAAACAATGTTTCCTGGTTTGTCCACCTTCAGGAAACATGGCTAGGAAACAATGTTTCCTGGTTTGTCCACCTTTGGGAAACATGGCTAGGAAACAATGTTTCCTGGTTTGTCCACCTTTGGGAAACATGGCTAGGAAACAATGTTTCCCACGTTTGGGAAGCATGGCTAGGAAACAACGTTTCCTGGTTTGCCCACCTTTGGGAAACATGACTAGGAAACAATGTTTCCTGGTTTGTCCACCTTTGGGAAACATGGCTAGGAAACAATGTTTCCTGGTTTGTCCACCTTTGGGAAACATGACTAGCAAACAATGTTTCCTGGTTTGTCCACCTTCAGGAAACATGGCTAGGAAACAATGTTTCCTGGTTTGTCCACCTTTGAGAAACATGGCTAGGAAACAATCTTTCCTGGTTTGTCCTTCAGGAAACATGGTTAGAAAGCAATATTACTGCAATAATATTCCTTATTTCATCGTGGGCGCTTAGGTTTTGGTGTTTTTCCTACAATTTATTTTCGGATCATGATCACATCATACATTTGCCAGTCCAAGATTCCAAGAATGAAGAGTTCAGGTTATGTAGCACACCTCGTAGTCAAATCATGAGATGTGTACTCAATGAAATGGAGTACTGTAGATTGAAAAGCGAGATAAATATCAAGGCAGTTTGATGCTTTGTAGATGGTTATGTCACTATGTCAGTGAAAGGCCGAAGCAAAATGCTTCATTTCGCACCTGATTAACGATGATAAGCTAACACTGACTGTGACATTCCAATTATTAAGCAAGCAACTGACTAATTATTTCTACTGAATAGCTCTATCAGTTCTAAACTGTAATTCAGTAAGAGCCAACCCTTATCGATCCAGTGTTACTACAGAACTTGACTACACTACCGAACTAAACAGAACTAAACTAACTGTATTTATACTGGATATCTAGCTCTATCAGTTCTAAACTGTTCTTCCTGGAGGTCTAGTAAGGATCATCTCTTATTGATCTAGTGTTACTACAGGAGGAAACCTAAACAAAACTAACTTTATTTATACTGGATGGCTCTATCAGTTCTAAACCGTTCTTCCTGATAACGAAGAAATAATTTGAATTCTGCGGTTTTGGCTGTGGACTTCCAGTTGTGAACAAGAAGCACAAAGTTAATGATCATTTTCAAAAAGGTGTAATTTTAACAGAACAGCAATTATTAATTTGCTAGAATTTGTGTAAAAATCGTCCTCGTTTACGAGCATTCTGAAGCAGTCTTGTCACCCTAGACGAATTGCTTTTAATTTGCAAACATTTGTGAAGATTATCGCAGTTTTGTGAGACTATCCCGCCCTCCTTGCCATATGGTGCACAGTTGAATAAATAGAGTTGAATCTTCCATCGACATACCAAGAAGTTTAGAACTGATAAATCAAAATCCAGTATCATAGATAATATAAATATCAAGTAAATAAATGCACGTCAACACGGCACATTTTATCATAAGAAGACAAAATGACAAGTATTGCTTTCACAATTTCCTTTCCCAAAAACATGGATTAATTCTTGCATACGATATATGGACCATTGCTTGAAAGTGATTGACAATTTAATTCATGTATGCAGAGAATGTATTAGCCTACGTCAGACTCGATTGCTTTTGAAGGCAAATAGCAATGAGATTATTTTCATTATTGCTTATGCACTGCAATTAATTTGATTTGGCTTAAGATTAATCCTACTTTAATCGAGAACTCAAAACGCCCGCGGCATGACTTTGCAAGGCAACTAACAATCATTATTTTTCACATAATTACATTCACTGCAATCAATTTGTTTCAATTGGCTTAAGATAAAATCCCTCTTGAGCAACGTTTTGGCGTACCAAACATTATTTGTTACATAATTACATTCACTGCAATTAATTAGTTTCAATTGGCTTAAGATAAAATCCTCTTAATTTGAGAAATATTTTGGCCTACCAAAACGCATGCGGCCAATTAATATCAAATCTTTATAATTTAGCAAGCATCATTTATTACATCATTGTGATAAATGATTTCAATGAGCCCAAGATCTAATCCTTCTTAATTAGCGCGCGTAAAACGGTAAATACATGCGAAACAAAACGCCCACGGCACGCGAGTAACCAGTGGTTTGGACATGGCAAAGAACACATAGGTTATGGTCCCGTATCTCTCTGTATTGGGTTCACTAGCGTACGAATATATCACTCGGGGAGGGAGTATTTTACCCCGGGCCACCAACTCAAAATTAAGGGGGGCCCCAAGGGACAAAGGCTATTAAATTTTCTTCATACAAGATTGCTTAACCGAGAATAAAAGTCGCAGCTGCGTCATTGCTGGATTATTTACAGTAAAGTGTAATATATTGTAAAACACTACTTCTCCTGTTTTATGACGTCATAGGAGCTCCTGGGAAAGGTTTGCCCCGGTCCCGCGCAACCTCGCGGCGGCTCTGTCTGAATTACATGAAGATATAATCATATAGTATCCTTTGCGTTTGTGGAAACACCTTTTTTAACCCCAATAATCTGCGAATATAAGTTAGAGGGTCTTCTCGATATTTTCCTCATGATACTGTGATATATATGGACAAAATTTGTATTCAATCATAATATCAGCCGAGAATGGAAGAATTCAAATGTGCATATACGAATTCCCAAAGTGGAATTCATCAGTGCTAGTGTAAGTTAGCCCCTGTAAACTCTAAGAGAGACGAGAGTTATGTAGAGTTCACTGGTTGCCCCAACTGACCCTTCCATCGTAGCTGTCCTCTGTGATCAGACAGTCATAAGGTGGCTGCCAAAGGATTTAAGGAACCCTTAGAAAGCCTTCGACTCGACCAGGTTGAGCTGTATCCATCGCAATTCAGCTTAGCTCTCAGCTGCTAATAAGCATGATAAGCACACCCCATTGTACTTCACCTTCTAACAATCTGATAGCAGATGCGACTGAGAGTAAACAGAGCGCTGTCGTCGTGCACTCTCTAACGACAAGCCAAATAGTTAGGGCAGTTTATCACTTAGATAAAAAAATGACTAATGCTGTTGTTTTCACAGTTCTGAGGGGCAGGTCAAGGGAGTCATACTATAACACTGTAGGCTGAAACAAATATCATTCGTCAAGTGGACAGCGCGAATTGGGATTGTTATTAGTGATAAAGTCATCAGCCTGATACAGGTCGCGGTGTAAATCATGGCTATAAACGGTTTGGCATTAAACTAAACTAACTTTATTTATACTGGATGGCTCTATCAGTTCTAAACTGTTCTTCCTAGAGGCCATCTCTTATTGATCCAGTGTTACTACAGGAGGAAACCTAAACTAAACTAACTTTATTTATACTGGATATCTTTATCAGTTCTGAAAGGTCCATTAAGGGTAATCTCTTATTGATCCAGTGTTACTACAGGAGGAAACCTAAACTAAACTAACTTTATTTATACTGGATATCTTTATCAGTTCTGAACGGTCCACTAAGGGTTATCTCTTATTGATCCAGTGTTACTACAGAAGGAAACCTAAACTAAACTAACTTTATTTATACTGGATATTTTTATCAGTTCTAAACGGTCCACTAAGGGATAATTATCTCTTATTGATCCAGTGTTACTACAGAAGGAAACCGAAACTAAACTAACTTTGACTTGAATTCCCGCACAAGCAGGCGGTCGAAAAAATCTTACAAGCTGAAAATTCCCCACCCATGATTAACTTTTCTAATGGTCGCTCCCTAACGTGTGTCAATATATCAAATTTAAAACGAGTTACTATTGTTTCAGCTTAAAAAAACAGAGATAAGAACAATGGTAGCTCAGAATAAAAATCATTGACCCAATTTAGTACAGTGAACGTCACAATTCTCCGTTTTAATTATACTCGTACGGTAACCCTGGCGTAGCTCCAAATTTAATAATCAGAAAAGCAATACAGCTTTCGAAGTGTCAGCGGATTTCTCAAACAATATGTGCACTCATAATTGCGACCTTTACGAGAACTGATCTCATTGCCAGTCCGTTAATTACTAAATTATACCATAAAATGCATTAAGTTCGTCCGAAATCACATCTGTAACAGCTATACAAGGTTTAAAACAACATCACTCACACACGAGGGCACAGCGAGGTCAAACAACATTTCCCATAGAATTTGGGCGACTTTAAACCCCTGGAAACTGAATGAGACATATCATAAAACCTCCTCAACCTTTCTCTCTCCGCCTTGATCGAGGCGTAAGTAGCGAGCTTATTAGTTTTGGTCCATTGACCGTCCTGACCTTTAAAACCTGGGTGATAAATGTACCAAACTAATGCAGCATTATGCAGCGATCCCTTTACTAGCAACTGCGGGGTTATACAAGGAAACATATTCTGGAAACATATTCTGGTGCACTTCAGAGACATTGAAACATACGTACTACAGATAGTGAGACGAAAAAATATAATTTCTCATTCTGATTACTGGAGGTTGACCATCATCTGCTCGCTAGTGCCTAGTGAAGCCCGCCTATAATTTGGCTAGCTATCTAAATTGAAAGTTCATAACCACTTACCCAATTATCTATTCGCTATTCAATACCGTCGTTTCATATCCATTCACCCAAAGTGTAAACCGATGTTTGTTATAATACCGTGGGAATGCTGATGAGCGCGAGACGAATTGCGCATTAATACGATTGGTGAACGTGCGTGGCTAGTGTAGACAATAGTGAAAAGACACACGCCTCATTTGCATACAATGCGCGCAGATAAGGATCGCTGTCGAATTATCGCGCCAAGCCACATCATGCTGTTGGGGACAGTGTTATCGTCAAATGAACTCATGTGTGATTTTATCGCCATACAATGCACGCAATTTAGTTATAATAACCTCGTTTGTTGATTTAAAGAACAACATTTAGAATAACACGACTTCGTTAAGGATAACAAGATTTATAAAACATATTTATTGGGACATTTTATGGATGAATGCTATATAACAGTTGTGAATGCCTTCTGCATGCAATATATGTTAGTACCCCGTAGTCTTAGACTGAGGAGGCATCATTTTTAGGTTGCTCATTTCTATCAATCCTGCTAGAACTACTTGAATTCGATCATGTTGCTACCAATCAAACATACTAGTGGCGAGGTAGCCATAGCAACAGCTCATGATATGCAAATGTTTAATGATTTTCATTATTCAAACTTTTCGAAATGTATTGTCCTTAGTAAGGGGTCTTAATTCAAAAGCCTGTCCAGGTTTCTAGTAGACCTCTAGGCCTTATTTTACATAATTACTATTCTTGTAAATACTACTGGGCGAAATCAATTAAATACACCTATTTAAATGCAGGTTTATTAGCATAGCCAAGGCTACCTTCGCCACTAAAATACACCACTCCCAAACATTTACTATGTCGGCAATATGGCAAGAGAAGAACTTATCATGCAAATCGTTGTTGTTGTTGTTGTTGTTGTTGTTGCTTTTGAATATGTTTTGGACAATGGTTAATTAAGTATGGTAGATTTATCATGCTGTATCGCTGGTATCAACATGTTGTTGACGTTTTCATCAGTGGTTCCAATCTTAAAAACCCGCTGTAGTTCCTTCTAAAGTGTGTAAAACTTATGAACATGCAGTCCTTGTAGCTAACTGTAAGTTCAAAATCTTAACATTACAAAGTAGGGAGGGGTCATGCGAATATTTCATTGGTATACTACTTTTCTTGGCAAAGCAAGTGGGGCGGCTGTCATTTATTTAATGCCAGACATATGTAATGGAGGCTCAATTGTCATCTCAAGACTAATAAATTGTTAAAAGTTTAAGGGTGGTAGAATAGGAAAGTAACTTCAATAGCTAACTGCTGTAGTAACTTGTAGTGCCATAGAGCATTTCCAATTTAAATTCTGATAACCAGCAAATAGCGTTGGAAGGACAGGAAATTAAAATTCAATGTTCACAGGTGCGGTATTTACATCCCAGAAAAGATAAAGATGTGATATTTATCTGAAATATTGGTTTTAAATAAGGATATCCTTTCAAATTGAAGACGAAAATGTTGCACAGATGGTAATATACAAAACTTTATCTATACCATCTACTGATCCACACTGTAAAGATGGTACCTCATGAATGTGGGCTACTCAAGGTCTCTTCGGTCTACAGAGCTTCTCTATATGACAATATGTGCAGTTTAATTTCATTATCTCACGTTTCCACAATAAGTAGTAATACCGTTCACAACACCGGTTATTACGGTGTATTAAGTAGTCAATCATGGAAGTCAGATCAATTTAGATAATATTCATAAGGGACCCACCACCTAGCTTGCTTCATATGCACAACATACTACATGCTCTATGAGATCAATGTTCATAGCGAGCTTTAAGGGTTTACACTATCAAAGTTTCTGTGATCACAGTAGGAATTTTGCATTGGTAAATCCTAAGTTTTGAAAAGTTTGTGAGAAATGTTTGAGGAAACTGATTTTATTGTGTTAAACACAGAGTCAATTTCCTCAAACATTTCTTACAAATCTTTCAAAAATTTACCAATACAAAATTCATACGGTGATCACAGAAAGTTTGATAGTATAAACCAGTCTTTACAAATGAAAACATGCATCGTCTATAGGTATAGATACTTGGAGTATTTTTGTATCCCAAAGCTTTTAATATCATTATCATATATAGCCTTGAGAAGGTAGTTAATTAACACCACTTAAACCATCTTGATTTGGCTGATCAGAGCAAATGAACAAATTGGTCCAAAGGTTTTTGTGCTTAGCCGAAAACTCCAGGTTCCAAAAATACAATTATATATATAGCGTCTTGGGCAGGAATTGAACCTACAGTTCTGTGATGCAATGCTCTAACCATTGAGCTACAGAGTCTGTAGTTGTGAGTTGTGACTATTGGCATTCTTTCTTGTGAGATGCCAAAAATTCAGGACAAATCAGCACAGCTGTTTTGCAGCAATGTCAGAGTACATGTAATCTAGAAATTATCTCTGGTCCACTACACATGTACAGTGCTACGCTATCAGTGATAAATTCATTGTGCGTCAATTCGCGAGCAGATTGCGCGCTTATTTATTACCTTTCAAAACTCATTTCATTTTGTTTGCGAGAGTTGAGTGTAAAAACATGCATCTGATTGAAAGGATAACTTGAAGATGTTTTAATGGTTAAAACATGACCGCTTCAATTACAATTGGGTGTGATGTATTATACCTTAAATAGAGAAGAGACATTCACGCGACAACGCAACGTGAAATGCACGTCATATCTTTTTATAGTGATGCACTGCAATATTAAAATCAAACAATCTACTGTAAACTGCACTGGGAACGCTTAGCATGGATCAGTGAATATTTTTTAATACGTATTGACATATGAACATGTTTGAAATCTTTAGTCTGCACTTTATATAATTCAATTACAATATGACCCTCATCTCTGGAACGAGTCATTTGGATGTGCAGTCGATCTAAACTTGGTCAAACTGCCTTAGAAATGGGTATTATGTGTTCTTCGTTCTATAAATTAAGGAGCTTGTTTGCTGAGTAGAAAGAGGGTTTACACGAGTCACAAACTGATTTTGTGTATTAAATAGTTGGATACGCATATCTTTTGGGTATGTCCCAGATGACGTCATGATTACGTCATCAGGCGATATAGTGCTGCAAAAATGTGGTATCCATATGTTGTTCATTACGTCATGGGCCTACCGTTTAATAATTTGCTAAGTAAATGTATTTAACGCATTCTGTATCTAATGAATATTTCATGACGAATCTTCCAGACTTCGTCGATGAATCGTTATCGGTTATACATTAATTCTTTAATATCTTAAACGCGATCGCGCTAAAAGCCAGGATTAGCAAAGCAAACATGTTTTGTACTGTGTGCACACAATCTCATGGTGTTAAATCAATGTATTAATTAGAAATTATAGTTTTAAAAAATTCACCGTATTAATTTGCGTATCACACTGTCGAACAAAATGCAACTTTAAAAGAAAAAATTGATGCAGTAGTGAAAAATGTTCCATAGCCACCTTAAGTTAAGGGGGATCTACACCATTACGATTGCATGTCGTTGTTTGAAGATAACTAATCCCTGTTTGTATTGGGTATTTTGCAATATCTCACTAATGGACCGATTGGGGTAAATCTCACACGCAATGCTAATGTACTGTCACGATTATTACACGGCCATTAAATAGCCTTGAGGTCATTTTTCTGGCATGCATGGTTGATTCATTATAATGCCTCATGTCATTAAATATCTTCGGTCCTGAAATATCTTTTGAAATAAGTCGTTTTCTTTTGGAACAAACTGAGGTCACGGTGATTTAGTAAATGGACTCAAGTTCACTCGAAACATTATGACATCAACAAACCACCCAAAAATACAACCACCTCTTTGAGAGTTTAATAGTCTTAGAGTTTAAGTTTTGAGAGTTTAATAGTCTATTTTTGAGAGTTTAATATAGTTGTAAAGTTTTGAGAGTTTAACAATTCATTTGTTCACGAGGTCTAAATTCAAACGACCGTTCAAAGTTCATCTTACATATAGACTCCCAGTCCAAAATAGTGAGCTTATTTAAGCAAGTGACGTCACCCGAACATCGGTATAGCTAATGGCTAATTAAGCTCCCTAATATCTTATTACAACGTCGTATAATTTAATGATATCTGCAAGCATGGGTGAATTATTGAAAGAAAGGATAAAATAGAATTTAAAATATTACAAATTAACCGCTGTCATTTGTAGGTCAGTGCAAACATGTGCCTGGTAAAAATATTGTCTAATCCACGTAGAACTCTAAAATCTATTTTAATAAATTATATAAATTTAAGTAAAAACGTATCAATACTAGACAATAGAACTGAGCAATGATTTGGATTCTTGCACTTCACTTGGTGGAATTAATGTATATATACTCACTTGGATTACAAACCCTAACATTCTAATAGAACTGAACAGCCTTCGTGCAAACTTAACGCTACAAAAGTGTTTAGGAACGAACTAAACGTATATTTTGTGTTCAATATATAGACGGAGTAAATCATGTAATAAACACATTTAAAAAAAGTCTTACTGTAGTCTATATATTGAACACAAAATATGCTACAAAAGTCGTTTAGCAGTAATTCTCTCATCTATGTCGCACTATTTCTCATAATTTCGACCTAAACTTGTATTATCTCGCAACAAAAATCTTGATAAAACTCCACCCCTATACTATAGGTCAAACTCTTTCAAGTTAAAAGGTATTCTCACTTATGGTGACGATGTGATGTCGTCTGACAACTCCATTTACCGTTCCGAGTTGACAAACATCTTCTCTTTCCCAGACCTTGGGAATGACCTCATGTGACCCCAAATGTACACAAGAATGGAAAATGATGTATTGACTTTAAAATTTGCATTAGATTTGTTATGAAAACTTTCTTAAGAAAACATCCAAACTGCTTTAAAGTTCAAAAAAGATTGACATAAGTCCAACATGTCACGGAAATGCATGAAAAATCCACGTGAGACCGGAATCGTCCCTATAGAAGCCGGGAAACTGATTTGGAAACTTAAGCCGAGTTGTAGCTCAAGGTTAATTGCGTTAAAACAGTCTGTGTGGTTAAATGCTGCATTTGTTGTATTGACATATCAGAGTTAAACCGACATTACGACTAGTCAATAGAAGTTGGGTTTAAAGACCACCTGTACAGTATATACAGTAAAGAACCGGTTGAACAAGGTCAGGGATGAAGAGTTGATAAGAGTTGAGAAGCGAGAGTTTGCATGAGAGTTTTCTCAACTCTCATGCCCCGGTCAAACGAGAACAAGAGTTGCATGAGAGTTGATGAGAGTCGAGAAGCGAGAGTTTGCATGAGAGTTGAGAAGCGAGAGTTTGCATGAGAGTTTTCATGCCCAGGTCAAACGAGAACAAGAGTTGCATGAGAGTTGATCCCACAGTTTGGGCGATACAGTCAAATAGAGTGAAATATTTTTTCAATCTTCATCACTGCATTTCAGTCAAAAGACATAAATCCTTATCCGAGAAGACGTGAAGAGCTAATCAAGTGCAGCTTTCGACCAATGAAGTCCGGCTGTGTTTCTGTGTTCCCTTGCAAATTTTTCATTCGTTCCCTCGTTCCCCACAAAAATTTGACCATGTCCCCTTGATCTCTAATCTTACAAGTTCCCTTGCCCACTATGATTTTTCGGCTTTATTCTGTGTTCCCATTGCAAAAGTAGTCTTGTTTCCTTCACCCTTGGGAGATCCTTGCTTCCTAAAACCTTGTTCTTTAAATATTTCAAGATCCTGAATGCTGCTCTGGCCAGGATCAGTAGCGATCTTTGATTTTCTTCTAATTATAATCAGAGGCGGTGTGATCGACCACGCTACCCCCCCCCCCCCCCCCTCCAGGGATTCCCCGATGGGTTTTAAGTTAATGCTAGTTTATTCTATAAACGTTCTCACGAGTGTATGTCAACATGAAGAATTCGAGTTAAATATGCAACCCTATTTCCTTTAGCAAAATGCAATCGGGCCAGTATGTTATTAGTCTAACTGACATCGATTTGTAATTTCTAACGTAGAAATCAAAAGGATCTCTATAGAATTGACAATATGTCATCAATGTCGAAAAGAAAAGTTGCATGGCGGTAACCGATGATAGCCTGAAAATGTGCGCAAATTTGCCGGTTCAAAGAGAACGCATCTCTCGCCGAGTTGCGACACGCCGTGACGTCACATTCAACCAAAGTACCACAAATAAATTCATTCGAAAGCTAATTGAATTACATTACCAATATGGTAAAATTTAGATTCGAACAAGAACTGAATATGAATGTATGTTAAACATTTAAGAGCTAACCCCGTAATATCAAAGTCTCAAAGAGAGCGCCCTAAATGCGGCTATCAGTATGGTCAGAGCAGCTTCGCTCTATATGCTAAAAAGTGGCAGCATAATTTACCATTTTATACCGGCATGGTGCTAGACATTACCGTGGACATGGTGATACATTATATCTATCATTAATAAGCTCGATACATACCTCAGATTATAAGCGAATTATCCTCTCTGACGGCCAAATCCGTTTTGCTCTCATAAACTCCTCTGCACTACAGCTCTCGTGAATCAGAGTGTACCACGCTATTCAAATTCTCCTTGCGTAAAACGCTAATCTCAGGCCACCCACAACCTGAAGGAACAAAGCAGAGTGATTAAGTCCTCAAGGGTTGGGTTTACATGACCGGGCCAAGCACGACAATGCGATATAGTTACAAACGTCGTCTTTCAGTGGGCGGGCATGTTTTATGAGTTCAATCATGACATGAATTGTGAGAATTATGTTTAATTATCGCAAAGTAAACGTTGGCCATGTTTGCGCATTTCAACTACATGTTAAAAGGTTATGGATTAATGAGCTGCGAGACAGGACGACATTGGAATGTCAGATTCTCATTATATGATACAGTACATTATAAGATTTTTATACTGGATATCTCTATCAGTCCTAAACTGTTCTATGAAGGTCGATCAAAAGGTCATCTCTTATTACCCTAGTGTTAGACTACGTAAACTAAACTAACTTTATTTATACTGGATAGCTCTATCAGTTCTAAACTGTTCTTCCTAGAGGTCTAGTAAGGATCATCTCTTATTCGTCCAGTGTTACTACAGGAGGAAACCTAAACTAAACCAACTTTACTTATACTGGATTGCTCTATCAGTTCTAAACTGTTCTTCCTAGAGGTCCAGTAAGGATCATCTCTTATTGATCCAGTGTTACTATGCAGGAGGAAACCTAAACTAAACCAACTTTACTTATACTGGATTGCTCTGTCAGTTCTAAACTGTTCTCTCTAAAGGCCTAGTAAGGATCATCTCTTTCATTAACGTTTGTACAAAGAGAAAATGGAATTTGGAAAATCCAACCAGTGACGTCATAGTTCATATTCCAAAAACTATGAGGACGTCAGTATCCTGATATTGATCAAGCATTCATTGTGTGCATGCGACAAGTATTGTGCGAATTATGTTTAATTATCGCAAAGTAAACGCGTCGCCATGTTTGCGCATTTCAGGATTAACGGTTATGGATTAATACAGTGGGAAGCATGCGTAAATGGACGAGATTGGAATGTGAGGCTCGACATTCTGTGTGCAAGATATTTTTGCATCACTCCGAAATCAGACCTTTATTTATACAAAATAGCTCCGTGTGCGAGTCTATAAGTTCTCCCCAGAGATCCAATATATGTAGTATTACTATAGAACAAATTATTTGGAAAAATCTTGGAGTTCATTGAGTTCCTCACTCATTGGTGAGCGAATTTCCCAACAAGCTATCGAGTATTGCCCAATTGATTGGGGATCCGAGGTACCTACGATTTAACGTCCTTATCCGAGAAGACGCGAAAGTCTAACCATTTACTGATGTCAATGTAAAGGTAGCACTTTCTCCTCAATTATTTTAAGACCTTGAGTAGAGGTCCGAGCAAGGACTGAACCCGGGACTCCCAGCATGAAAGGCAAGCGTGGTGAGGTTTGGTAGAGTTAACTTATAGTCAGATTTACTGCATGTAAGAAGATGCTAGAATCTACTGGCGATAATTTATATTTCATAACATCAATACAAATAAGTTGTTTACAAACAAGAACAAACAAAAAGAAAAACAATTTCTATTATTACTAAAGAAAAATAAATATATCCTTTACCGCGTTTAGTGTCTCAGGATTCCCTGCAGTTCCTCACAATAAGCTATGTCGAGAGCCACGATATTTACTGATTCCACTGTTGCGAATATATGCACAGAATCCCTACACGTCCCGTTGAACAGCTCTGTTTCTGCGCACACACAGAGACTACGGTGATTTTAAACATGATTCTGGCAAAAGTCACTAACCGCGGTTGGCGAGTCAACAAAGGGCGACCCACAAACATCCGGGGATAGACCCTGACCAAGGATATTTAGCGGTAAAATTCTAACACGATGGGAAAGTGAAGACAAGGTTTCATCCGTATCGAAATTAATCCCGAACAGTTGTTCTTAATCAATTGTAGAAAGGCTTTTATGGATGGAAATCTCAACTTTGAGAGTTTTATACATTTAACATACACTTGTTCTTAAGGCCCTGTCACACTATTGCGTATCGTACTAGCGTATGCCAGCGTATGAAAAATATCACCCATACGCCGGTATACGCTGACATACGCTAGGGGTACGTTAGGCATAGGTTGTATACGTTTTAAGCACGGTCGCGTACGGTGGTATACGCTGGCATACGGCGAGGCAGAAAAAATTTTTTAAGCATGCTCAAACATTTTGTGCGTATTGAACCGGCGTCATATACTTTATACGATAAGCATATTCTAGGTACACGCTGAATACGCTAGAGGTACGCCAGATGTACGGTACTCATATGCTGGCATTTGAAAGGATTTTTGTGCGTATGAAAATTATTTCATTAATTTTCATACGCTTTTCATACGTTTCTCTCGTACGCAATAGTGTGACAGGGCCTTAAGCTCGACAACTGGCCTCTGTAGCTCAGTTGGTTAGAGCACTACACCGGAATCACAGGTTCAATTCCTGCTAGAGGCAGAAGGCCTACATTCTATGTTGCATTTTTCGCAACGGTTCCCGGTTAGGTCTAAGAAATGTAAAACTGAATTCCACTGGAAATTTCCATCGAAAAAATTTTGATAATGTTGGTATAGAATGGAACAAAGTTTATAAAAAAAACTCGTCTCGATATCGAAGATAAGGACGTTCTATTTTTGATAGAATTAGAGAGATCGGATACCACGCTCGCCCCCGCACACGTCAGACCCCATGTTCCTTATCGTTTAGTTGTTGTTGTTTTTCCCCAAACGCCTTGATGCCATTTTGAACATATTAACACCCAGGTGTTAGGGCTTTTGTGTGAATAATGAGAGAACAACAAGTCAACAACCCGGAAAGATGTTCATTATTACAGGATCATCCGCCCATCTACCTAACCAGACAAGGTTGCGGACACGTGGTCAGTGCGTGGGCCTTCCAGCTACAGTAACATTCAATTCTTGCAGTTGCAAAAAAATTTCTGGAATTGTGAATAGAAATTACTTGAGTTGCGCGTTTTAGTTTAGATTTTTGCTTCTAATGCCTGGTTTCCATATGGTCGTAACGGTCGTAAAGATTGAGTCACGATCTTTCTCATCAGCCGAAATACAACATTTTAGAACTGAAAATACACGAAGTGATTATAACTAGAGAATACTTATCATTTATATGTGTTTCACAGGTATAAACTATTATAAACTGGCCGGCGTTGAGAAAGATCGTGACTCGATTTTTACGACCGTTACGATCATATATGGAAGCCAGGCTTAAGAGAAAGTTCAAACTGTACTGTTAGCAAGTAATTCACAAGGAAAAACTTCTATTAATCTTGGCATAGGATTATTTTTGCGGAACTGCCATGGATTAGAAAATGAATCGCCAAAATGGGAATTGAAAACAACATCAGTTCCACCAATGAGGACAATCAGGCACTAATTTTATACAGTGTGAATTTTATACATTTCTTAGAGCTAACCCGGGAGCAGTTGCCAAAAATGTAACTATATATAGGCCCTCTCGCAGGAATCCAACCAGAGAGAACCGTTACTGGACCACTAAGGAGAACTGTTTAAACCTGATGGAGCAGTTCAATATAAAATTATTTTATTTTATTTTATTTTACGCTTGGGCTCTGTTAGGCAGTATGCCTATATAACCGACATGAATGACTTCTTTCAACCCACCGATATTGGCAAAATAGCGCAACAGGACGAAGTCTGTGGTTCATTCCGCATATTTTCACTGGTATCGCTTACCTTAGTCTAACCACGATATTCTGGTTGCTAGTTCAGACAACCACACCAAGAATGAAGTAAACCAGAGCCAAGTAATCTCTACCGTCTAGGAGTATTGTTCAGATATAGACACAGACGATGAAAGTGGCAACCTATATAGAAGTAAAATCATTAACACAGGATAGACAAGCGTATATAGAATGATATACATTCGACCGTAAATGGTAAAATTAAATTAATAATATTAATATACGGCTTTATAGATTATTTGAAGTACTGCAAGCGCATTAAACAGCTTAACACTACTAATAAGGGAAGAAACGAGCCTGGTTTAGAACTTTTTCAAACGATAGAAATTACTGGAGACATACAGAAGTCTTGCAAAAATCGTAAGAAATGTCAAAAATCGTGACCAAACGGCTGCGTTGAAAATACAACGTGGGCTGAGTTATGGAATGAACTTCCGGCTGATGTTACACAGCCTCTATGCGGTTAAAAATGGCAAACCGTCCAACTGTAGCTATGTGTTTTGTTTGCTTTTGCTGATGGGGCTATAGTGTCTTTGAATAAAGTTTTAATAAAAAAATCTGACCCTTCAGAATAGCCATACAACATTGATACCACAAAAGCGCAATATATCAAGTCGTCGTAACTTTGGTCATTTTGATATTTCGCTTTAATAAAATATTCCTTCATGCATTTGTCGTGAGATCCTGAAATTCGTGACACATGTAAACATATTGTACGAAAACAAAATTCCAAGAGATATTTCGAATGATTAAATATGACAAAAATAGAACAGATTTTACAGCTTAGTGTTTTATTCTGAGAAAGTGCGAAGAACTTTAGACATTGCAATATTCAAGACATTCATAGCCTACAGGCAATACCGGCAAATCATTATGCATTACAGTTCAGTTTAATATAACAAGACTTTTATTACTTTTACTCTTATTTATTGCCTTATATAGCTTACATTTTTTCTTTGACTATCGTTTGACGTGTGATATTTAATGTCACAAATGCACACACGAAGGTGTTAGCCTGCGCCTGTTTTGCAGGCTAACAAAGTGCATGAAGATTTTAGTGCTCGCGCAAATTACAGGCTGTTTTTTGTTGCGCAAATATGATCAAATATGTTTGGCAGTAAATGATTCTTCAGTTTCTTTAGATTCTATTCAATGTTACGCAATCTTTAAAATTTCTATAAGTTTCAAACATAATGAATTGGAGGTTATGTGTTCATATTAAAATGGCAAGCGTAGTAATTCTATACACATCTGCCAGGTATTTCCTGCGCCATCGTTACAGTAAAGATCACCGTAATCCTCATTCATAGAAATCCTAGCCTGCTACTGTAGGTCCTAGGCCGCAACAGTAATCCAATACTTTTCAGCAGAAATTACTATACATGAAAAACAAGTGAAATACGATTACATCTGATTGGTTTATAAATCTAGTAACAAATAATATACATGCGTAAATGCATAATCGCGCAAACTGTGTTGGCTTCACAATAATATTCCAGAATTCCCGAGCAAAACTAATACATTTGCACGATTGAATCCCTTTATGTGTACTGAATAAAATACAATACAACGGTAACTCCGAATAAAGTAAGCATTTTGATTCAACGTTTCGACTTTATTTAGTCATCATCAGGAATCCCGATGAATTTATTTAGTCATCATCAGGATTCCTGATGATGACTAAATAAAGTCGAAACGTTGAATCAAAATGCTTACTTTATTCGGAGTTACCGTTGTATAGTATTTTATGAAAATACTCAGTGGTTCCCGCAAGTACTGAATAAAGTACGCAAGTGTCAGAGATCTCCATCCGTGCACGATTGGCCAAGATTGAGTCATTCGAGTGTCAGTGGTCAAGAGGTTCGCCACGCATTTTATACTTAAACTGGCTCATCGATTTTCATCTTTGGATTTGTCTATGATATGTATTTTCATAGTGTTCTCTTGCTTCTACTTTCGTTATTTCTTACTTTAATTATCAACTTATTATGTAACATACTGCGTGTATCACGTCCTTCGTGAAAACCAGCTCATTGTTTTAGCAGTTGTTGAGGCTAGCGTGTCTAAATAAAGTTTAATTTGTATCTGTGTACGTGTATCATCATCAGCTATACAGTAAATCGCGTTACAATAAGCCATGAGTGCACGCAAATATGTTAATATTATAGCCTGAAGAATTTACAATTCAAAAGGATTCAAAAATCACCAAGACGCATTTAAATTTAAACAAATCGAATTATAGTAAATCACTTTTGTATTCCTTTTGAACATAACTACAGACCTCTTATCCCCATCCAACCAGCCACCCAAAGTCTTGTTTTCACTCAGGAGAATCAAATATACTATTAAATTCCATATCATCAACGCCTTAATTTATAATCACACCTCGACAGAGCGGAAGAGAGGAAAATTAATAAACGTCACTATTCCCTGCTCTGCAGATCTAAACTTGTCCACTAACACATGTTTTTGAAGTTGAAACAAATAGACAAGCGCTGTAGAGAAACTATATAGCGAAGAATGAACTTCATTCATGCGTTTAGTAATCAGAGATTCCTGGGTGATTGAGTGATAAATCTGATATAATAGCAAAGCACTTGTTCTGTTATAAAGTGTTATAAATGATACAACCATACATTTAATACTGATGATTTATCGAAGTCAACCCAGTCAAGTGGCCCTGGAGGCTATGTTATTTAATGAACATTAGTTTGTTTATTTCTGCAACAAAACATATCCGCAAAACGAGCTAACTTGAATTCTTGGTGTGTCCACGCTACTGAAAAGTACGACAAGGCGTGCCAATCAAAAAATCTTGTTCTTACTAAGAACAAGATTTTTTGATACAAAACCTCAACGATGATCATTCCATCTCGTGCGCGCGCAAAGTTGCGCATCTTCAAACAGCGCGCAGAGTTATTTAAACATCCCTTTTAAGGAAACGCGTTTTATCAAACGAAATTCAAACCTTTCACTACCTTCTACCAAACACAGGAAATGTGATAAAAATAAAGACTAGTGCGTACTAAAGTCAACATGGAAATGTTCTTTTGGTAGAAAGATATTCTTCTTCCCTACTTTATTTTTAGACAATAAGCTACACTCGAAGACGCGCACCATGCAAATATATAATTTGCACAAGAAAATGCGACGCCGAAAACGAAAATACAGAAAACAGCTGCATTTGTAATCAAAGGTTTATTTTCTGTCGGATATTATATTTTTCCCACGCAAAGGCATTTTGCCAGAATGTCTGGTGCAGTTAGCAAGATTATGTCACCATGGATCTGTAGTTGTCCAAAAATGGGGTAAGGTACTCACTAAGGTTACAGACTCACAGTGAACATTGACCGTGTTGATTTGCTTCAAACCTATTTTGGAGGTACTTCACACCTTGTAAAATGCGGTATTTTTTTGCGTCTTTAGCTTTTTGTTTTTTTATCGCTTACTGTATACAGAATTATATACATAAGTCGGCGTCACAGGGCCGGCATTGAAAGTAAAAAGTAAATCCGACGTAAAAATAGCTAGCAAGGTTCGACACAAATATGCTCAGTGTTTTTTAATGCAAAAGTAACACTGTTTCCTTTTGAATATATAATATCAAAAACACAATCGATTTGGTGCCAAATACTTCTGCTGAGCGTATTAGCGTAAGTATGAATATTTTTCTTCATGAATTTTGGCCAGATACCAAACAGCCCGAGGTGACTGCTCCAGCCCACGTACAGTAGAAGAGGGGTGGGTTTGTTTGTGTTATTGAAATAATTTATCTTAGCTTGGGGCGTGCGAAGGTAAGAGCCTGAGAACGAGGTTGCTCAAGATCAACCACGACAACCGCTTCCCGAATTTCTCGCCTCCTGCGTGCCCGCTGTCCGCGCGTAAATTCCTCCCGCCCGCATTTTTGCGCTCTCTTACAACGTCGAAATAACAAGCCCTTTGAGACGCAGACAGTCGAAGCAAGTCTAGGCCGTTCACAATAATGGTAAACCATGCTCGTTTAACTATAGATGACAGCGTACGACATGTACTAATCAGTAAATTCATTTTCTAAAATTCTTAAACATTATTTTAATTGACTGTAAATTTGTGCTTGGCCGCGGATTGCAGTACGCTTTATCATATAGTTGTAAATATTTATTGTATAATATTTTTGTGTGATATACGGCCCTTTGAAAATCACTAATTGTGAAAGGCTACTGTGTTTAAATATTCTTAAACAATAATAATAATTTAGTGTGGTTATGTTACCAGGAAGTTTCATTATAGTGGTAGTATGTTGCACTGGTAAAAATCTTTATTTACAGTTTAAAAAACGTAAAATATAAATCAAGCTTTCGGACTAAGCGTCCATCGTCAGGATTAAAATGGCAAAAAAGATCAGTCGCTTAAATACTATTTACATGTCAATGACCTAACTAAAATACTAGGTTTTTTGAATAATTAGACTAAAAGACAAAAGAGTCATAATAGAGAAAATTGATAAAGACTAAATAATGCTTTGTTGACGCTATAATACGCTATTATGACTCTTTTATCCAGTGTCTTATTATGGCTCTTTTGTTGACTCTATATTACGCTTATATGACTCTATTATGACTCTTTTGTCTTTTAGTCTAATTATTCAAAAAACCTAGTATTTTAGTTAGGTCATTGACATGTAAATAGTATTTAAGCGACTGATCTTTTTTGCCATTTTAATCCTGACGATGGACGCTTAGTCCGAAAGCTTGATTTATATTTTACGTTTTTTAAACTGTAAATAAAGATTTTTACCAGTGCAACATACTACCACTATAATAATAATAATAGTACTACATTTCCCCAAAATTTAGATAAGCTCTTCTTCAATTACCCCATCCCCCCTTAAACATGCATTTGCGGCAGCAAATTGAGCGGGAGGTTGAAAGCTTGAACAACCTTATCCCTGTAGAGTGTTCTATCGTTATCAGGAAATTGCTATCACTTCACCTTTGAAGAACTCAAAGAATAACTTATCATTGCTATAAAATAATGTGTCAACATATTGTTTTGATGTCAGCGTGAAGTTCACTCCCTGTGGAGAACTTCAAGAGAGCAACTGTTTTGCATGGTCGCTATCTCACAAAGAAGGAACTTAATTGCATTTCAAAAAAGAGGAACTGAAAAATTATTAAGTTAATTGTATCGAAGAAACATCAATGCTCTTTAAAATGTTAGATGAAGAATTACAAGCAATGGTTGGCATTTTGAACGATAACATGGGCCAAGAATGAATACATTTATCAGCTCGAAAATTTATTTTTTCGGTTCTAGGATCTTCGTGCAGGCCAAAAAAATGCATTTACGGAAATCTGAACGTGATTTAACTTAATTTTAAACTGTTTTGTTATTTTCCAACTATAACATTAATGATAGGTTGCATATAATTGTTGATTCAGCTTTTCATCAATAAGGGATCGTAATTTATTTTCTGCAACTGTTAACTTATAGAGAGTTTCAGATTTGACTTCCTCTACCTCTCACTGGCTTAGTACGCACCTGATTGGTTAATCGCAGATAACAAACGCATTTGATTGGTTAATCGCATATATCAAACGCATCTGATTGGTTAATCGCATATATCAAACGCATCTGATTGGTTAATCGCATATATCAAACGCATCTGATTGGTTAATCGCAGATAACAAACGTATCTGATTGGTTAATCGCATATATCAAACGTATCTGATTGGTTAATCGCATATATCAAACGCATCTGATTGGTTAATTGGATATATCAAACGCATCTGATTGGTTAATCGCAGATATCAAACGTATCTGATTGGTTAATCTGATATAGCAAACGTATCTGATTGGTTAATCGGATATATCAAACGTATCTGATTGGTTAATCGGATATATCAAACGCATCTGATTGGTTAATCTGATATATCAAACGCATCTGATTGGTTAATCGCATATATCAAACGCATCTGATTGGTTAATCTGATATATCAAACGCATCTGATTGGTTAATCTGATATATCAAACGCATCTGATTAGTTAATCGCATATATCAAACGCATCTGATTGGTTAATCTGATATATCAAACGCATCTGATTGGTTAATCTGATATATCAAACGCATCTGATTGGTTAATCTGATATATCAAACGCATCTGATTGGTTAATCTGATATATCAAACGCATCTGATTGGTTAATAGTCCATTAATGGTAATTGAAGTCAAACTGAACCCGTATAATAATTAATACTTGACCAATCCGTAATTGATTTTTGATTAAATTATTTTTCACACACCTTAAGTTTGTGTTCCCGATGCGGAAATCTCATCATGTCTGCCATGTACATATTAACGGCTGGACCAAGCCTATGTACATTATAAGCAAGTGTGAAATTCACACGTTGTACACAAAGTAATTTTATGAAAATCATAAAGAATTGAGTAGCTTATATAGTCTCGCCCATATCCGTTAATTACTCAATATCTCGTAAAATGTATTTGATTTTTGACTCCCAAACTTTTCAAGAACTTGTACTCCGCATTAATGAACATATTTACGAAGAAACAAGTGCTTAAATACAGCAAACTGTATGTCTGTATCTCTATTATAACTTTTCAGAACCTTTGTATACAGAAGCTATTACCCATCACATAAGCTTATATACAGTAATAAATATGGGTGTTACAATGTTGTTAATCTTTCACTAAGAGAGTCAGTCTTCCTATGAGAAAAATGTTTTCCTGACCATAAACGAACGTTAGAATAAACTTTACACTGTTAATGAAGAGCTGTCGTTTCCTATTTTGCATTTTTTTCTCTGCGTCCTCTGCGCGGGCCGTGCGTCAGTCCTCTTGTGACAATTAAGTGCATCATTTAACACATCGTGCCGTTTCTAATGGCCATGAGCTATTCAAGAATGTGACAGCAGGAAAATTTGCGCGACAATCGAGCACGTTGACCCGTTATGCTTCTAATAAAGTAGAAATACATCGAGTATAGTATACTCTTCCAAAGAAATACACAAAGATTTACTCTTTTTCTTTAAGTGAAATAGCAGGACAGCCTTACTGCAAATCTCCAACCACAGATGTATGGAGCATGCGGTACTTAAATCTAATTACCATTTGTATCGCTATTGCGCACTTTGATATAAAATGTTTCGATGTAAGTACGTGTTTATCATTTAAATTTTTCACCGCGGGCTTGTGGCGTTGACGCATAACTTCATTAAATAACGAGCTTATTAAATGTTTACATACATTTTGACATCATTTTGTACATTTGTAACAAATTAACTGTACCAGGCCGGCTGTTGGTAAGATATTTAGTAAGAAGCCGACACGTTTGATTTCTGCGTACAATGTCGTTTAGACGACACGAAAAGACATACTGAACGCGCAAGAGTGCTTCAGCACTAGCCATTAATGAAAATCCTAAGTAGGAGGGCGTGACATTAGGATTTTGTTGACAACAGGACAGATTTATCGGTTCACAACTAGGAAAATCATGTCTTTATACAAGAGAAAATACTTTCAAAGAATACTTCTGATCAACAAAATTTCTCTAGCGTAGTACGTACTTTATCACATGTATAATATCCAAATGATACTGCCAAGGTTGAAATAATTAGAAACTCTGAACCAAATCTGGCTCAATGAAGGTGTTAGGTCATTGATGTAATTCATGCGACATCCCAAACAGGAGGTCTAATACACGTAGTATTCTGCAATAAGCTATCGTTATTTGTATCTGAACTGCTCGAAAAGGGTTAAAAATTAAAACTGTTGGAGAAATACCTCAACCGACTGTAACATTTTGACGCCTGCGCTCGAGATGTTAAGAAGATGTTAAGTATATTCAGTTGAAACGCAAACCGATCAAGTCAGCGTAATTTATGTGATAAGCGACAACATCGTCAAGAGCTTGTTGACAGGACTCGATACATAAAAAGGCTGTCCTCAAGTGACACAATTCGAGTAGACATAACGTTTCCAAAATCACGACAGAATCGCACGGGAACGCCGCAAATTGCCACGCGAATGCGCAGCGGTTGATTTTGTTAAAACTACAAACACGGAATGGACATATACGGCAAAACTAAACCATATTTGTCGAAAGTATTCTCGGTAGTGCCGGGTAGAGAAAACAGAGAAATTTATATGATACCACATGGGGCCTTGTCAGTACAAGGATATTAACTTAATCACGACAAGCTTTGTTTTAAAATTGGCTTAAAACAAATATTACTACAAGTGTATTTGAAACACTGATTACAAGATGAGTGGACTATGTTTTAATAAAAATACATCATAATCAACGCTTACCTCGAAAATGCAGCTTGAACTGGGATGTGGCTTTTGCCAGATTCCGACTGGGAGAACGGGGTTAGCCTTTATGTACTAGCTTGTATTGTGCTTCAGTATGCTTTGTGCATCGCTCACTGCCTGCTGATTCTCGTATTTTTCAATAAAATTCAAACAAAACGTTGTTTCAAACACATTATATACTCAGAGACGCCCTAGTGTGACTAAAGACACGTATTATCCTAGAGACTTCTTTATCAGCAAGCGTATTTGATATCCGGACATAGGAAGCTTATCAAATGCAAGCTGATATTATTCTGTCAAAAACTCTATCAAACACTGCATCTTTCGAAATACAAACTGTCGTGATTTGAACTTCCTGAAAAGATTAAAAGGATTTTGATGTTTCTGCGAAGGTTAAGGGAGGTTAAAGTAGCCGTCACTATAACCTCCAGAACTGCGCTTGAAATTATTTTGTTGACTTTGTTGTGTTTTAATATTTTTATGGCGGCTCAGACCATAGTTATATTAACTATGCTCAGACCAAGAGCAGATTGCATTCAAATATTGACCGCCTTTTGGTGTTTATCCAAGGCGAGTATAATCGCTCAACTCACGTTCAATCAAAACCACTTGGACGTCACAAAAGAAGTATTCACGTTTTCGACCTTCTCAGCCACGCCAACTTCAAGTGGTACTTTTCCCGTTCACGTTTCATCTTATTATGGACCGCCCTTTAGAAAAGTGATGGAAAGGGGAGGTGCTGACGACTTTTTCGATTCGTCTGCACTTGTGCTGGAATTTGCGGAATACTAAAGGTATTTTTTGCTTTGCTTGCCCCTTTGCATGGTGTTTTTCTTTTGGGCAGATAATTTTTGTCCCCCCTCACCTTAACCCTGATTGCCAGAGGTTCTCGTATCTTAATTCCGGCCTATTCTCGCTCATTCCTTCGTACAAATTACGTAATTTATAATACGGCGGCACAAGAACGGCTCTGGAACCTGCAGGGTACCGCAACCCCCACTCCATTCCCCGGCACCCTCTCCTCGTCACTTTTTCGAATGGTCCGCCCCCTAGCCAGATCAGTTGGAGCACTTTTGGTGAATCAAACCTTCGCGGATCATGTAATCTGTTTCGTCAGCCGTAAACAATGTCACAATCCGTACCATTCACTGGGGGGGTGGGATGTGAAATCCACACTAGCTATGAAATTTGCAATTTGAAAATAGGTTAAATTCACATTAAATTCGGGCAAACCTTCAACTGCCTCCCCCCCCCGGCCCCCTCCCCCTCGAAAAGCATCAGCCCGGTACGCCTATGATACTATATGCATAGTATGGAAATATACAATTATTATGGACAATCAAAATCCATTCTATTTCCAATAAAGGTCCATACAATTTCCATTCTATGGATTTTCAAAAGTTTTTCAAGAGATTGTTAACGTTCAACTACGGTATGGTGTTTTACATTCAGAGGGCTGACTGTCAATACTTTACCTCACTGCAGTACAGCTTACTTGCCTTTATTCTGCAGTCAAAACTAATTTTCAAACTGAAGAGTTTCCTGCTCGGCGGTTCCGGCATGCATGTTGAGCGGAAGGAATAAAGCAATGCTCTTAGTATGTGAACAAAATGAGATACAATAAGAGCAAGTAAATGAGATAAGTAACCAAAAATATAACAAACTATTACGGATCAGACAGGATAATATAAAGAAATTAAATTAAGCAGGATCGTTTCTTCTTCAGCTTAAATCCTAATTGCACTTATATACACTTATACACTTATTGAAATAACTTTAATCTTCAATCTTTTAATAATCTTTTGGAATAACCTAACTAATAATCTCAAATCTATGAGTCATTTCCCACAAACGTTTCTTACAAATCCTTCAAAACTTAGAATTTACTGTGAAAATTCCTACTGTGATCACAGAAACTTTGATAGTGTAATCCAGACGTTATGGCTCCTAGCCCAAATATTATATTTTATTATTTTTGATAATTATATATCATGTAAAAGATATCTATCTAGTAGTTAAATGCCATGGACTCTTTCTAGTTTCCATGTTTGTTATTCTATCAGAAACAATAGGATTGAATAGGAAATATTTGATCATTATTCTATATATATTCGTGCCAATATATACAGTAATAAATACAGTGTCATATGTTTCAAACAGTCGTACCTGTCTACAGAGCGTCACCAGAACGAAAAGAAGACCAGTTTACCAGCCTTGCATCACAAGCAATCACAGCTGAACAAGAGGAAGAGAAAAAGAAAACCTAATACTCAATTTTGGGCGGAACAGACTACAAAAAGGGGGCCATATCCCCACTGTGTAATAACTATAAAACCGTCCAGAGATAACTCAGTTCATTGTATATTCCTAGCGTATCTTAAGCCTGTAAAACTGAGCATTGTGCAGGGTTGAGCATTTGCCAGAATACACAGATTTTAATTTCCTGTCTTTTACTGCAATGTAATCTTATCTCGAATGAGATTAGTTGGGGACGATGGTTATTTTGATAGAATAATTCTAAGGCAAACAATATAATAGAGTAATTGGGCCACTTTTATATTTGACGTGCTAACTCAGTACTGTTTGAGCGTGAGATGTAGGCTAATGGTATAATGGAGTTTTCAACCATCAGTATACATATCAGCTGAACCAAATAAATCACTCGTTTTGTTCTTCTAATAATCATGACTTATGTTTATGTATGTTATTACAATGAAAGACAAATCTGTGGTGGCATTGGATGTCCTCAAAAATTTTCATCAATTATAAATAGTATAAATCTAATTTGTAATCTAGTTCGGTAATGTTTTGTATTCTATGTACCAGTATTAATTGGTATAGCTCTGTTTGAATAAAGTTTGTTTGTTTGTTTGTATTTTTTGCTCATATAATAAATTTTATGTAAGTTTTTTTCTCTATTTTATTTTATAAAATTCCTGATTCTTCGTGAAACACATACGTCAAAGACACTCTTCACTTCACTGAAGACTTCATGTAATACGAGATGAGATTGATTCGACACCGGGCTAAACTGGACCACCTCGTGAGGCGGTCTCGGGTCGGTCACGTTTCACAACCGAGCTAATTCTTGTCAGCCTAGCATTTTAATTCGGCTAATCAAGGAACTGGCCAGGCTCCAATCTAGATCGATCTCAAGGTCTGAAGTTCAGAAGAAGTCTCTGATGAACTAACTGTCGGCCTGGAAAAAGCCTGTGAAAGTTTAGAGAAGGTCTCTCTCTCTACAGCCAGATCTTTAAAAAAATATTTGATTTCATGCAAATTTCTGAGACACTAATTTTGACATTGCAGCAAATATGAGGTTTCCGAGGTACTTTTTAATAAGGCCAATGAAAATTGATATCATGTTTCTCGTCCACAATTTTCAAAAATTTGGAGCGGGATTTTTTCATTTTTCATTATTTTTTGTGTTTGAATTCTGCTTGTCAATAATTTCCTTGACCCAGTAAAAAAACCCATAAAAATCTGAAGTACATCGGTCTATAATTCATTTTAATTTAATGACTTTAATACCAGGGCTGACATGAAAAATAGAGGCATTCTGGCGAGTAATATCTTTAGAAAGATACAATTTGAGTTGCGCTTGCGGAATGCAGCAATAAAACTTTGATCAGGAGATCAATTTGGTGTTTTGTTAAGCCTATTTTTCAAAAATAATGAATAATGAAAAATTTTCGTGCGGCAGATAAATCCCATGCGGGCGGGGACGAGAAACATGATATCAATTTTCATTGGCCTAATCTAAATTTTTATAATACATTTTTGAAAGCTTAAAACAATTGTGTCCTTTGCACTCAATTCCTGCAGTTTTGAATCGAAATTTCAGCCTACTGAGATAATCTTCTAATATCTAAATGAACATTGGCAATACCATTATCAGTATTGTTATCTGTTTTGTATGGGATTATATCACAAAAGGTGCAGTGGTGTAAAGGCCCGTTAACACTTTCAAATTTTGCTGCGCCGTCTAGTGGATTTTCTTCTAATGCAGCCTCGTCCCTGGCGCTTTGATGTGCTTACTGGTTGCGTGACGCACGCGCGGGAATCGAGGTGCGTTAGCTTCGCTCCGAATTTTTCCTTTCCCGCCACGCGTGTCCTCCCGCGCGCGCGTCACGCAACATCAAAGCGCCGGGGACGAGGCTGCTTCTAATGGATGTTAACGAGTGGACGAGTTACGAATGTTCTGAGTATACACGTACCCTCATCTGAACACTCATAACTCGTCCACTCGTTCACATCCATCAGAAGGAGAAAATAGCACCTGAAATGGGGACTTAAAGGCACAGTTCAGCCTTTTGAATGATGGTTTTTAAGGAGCATTACAAGCCTTTTAATTGAAAAAACTAACTAGGAAAATCAATTAAGTACTGTTTAATAAACGAGCAGGAGTGTTTTATTAGGTTTAAAGACACGAGCACGCAGCGCGAGTGGCTTTAAACCTAATAAAACACGACCTGCAAGTTTATTAAACGGCTTCAAACACGACTATACAAACCGCCTTATTAGTATTCTTTATATAAAAAATACCAATGAGGACACGACTACAATAGACACTGCCTTATTAGTATTCTTTATATAAAGAATACTAATTAGGAGTGTTGTATCAGGTTTAAAGCCACTGCACGTGACATATTATGGTTGACATGATTTGTGATGTAATGAGTGTTTGAAGCATAATTCAAGATCAGTGATTTCAATGATTTTACCATTTTTAAACATTTCTAATGTTAAAAACATTGAGTTCACTGATTTTGAATTATGCTTAATTCATTTTCCTAGTTAGTTTTTTCAATTAAAAGGCTTGTAATGCTCCTTAAATACCGGCCATCATTCAAAAGGCTGAACTGTGCCTTTAAATGAACTGTCGTTGCCTATTCCATGTAAATTACTGGGTAAACTACCACGACGTGCGTAAATCGTCAGAGTTTAGTTTTTTCAAGCCACACTGAGATTTGATTTGATTTGATTTGATTTGATTTGAGATAAAATCAATACCAAAATATTCGAAGATGGAAGAGCTATATTTAAGTTTTTTATAAAAGTTGTTTTCTCAATTTATTGATTCTGTAAAATAAGCTTATTGATATACAAAATCATTTATAACCATGACATAGCTAATGAAACAGAGAAAATCCGATTACATTTATGGGAACTCAATATTCTGCCTCCAGAGAAAACAAGATTTTAGGATTTTGCCATCACGACTAAGAGATAAAAAGTACTCGACTTATATCAGCTGACACTGCACACTGCAATTCCGGACTTGTCCTGGGAAAATTAATTAATAACACCCTACACCTCTTGGGCTTTCTATAGAAGGAGGATTACACGCGGCCGGGGAAAAGCGTGTTAATTTAATCTTTCAATCTACGGAAGGGTCAGAGGTAGTTGAATATTTAACAATAATTCGCCCAAGGCGAGGTGATTATCGGGGAATATTCGCCGAGACGAAGTCGAGGTGTATATTCCCCGATAATCACCGAGCCTGAGGCGAATAACTGTTTTAGTATTTTTGTGTTTTTTGGGACTGAATTTATTTTAATTTCGCTTATTTCTTTATCAGTATAACTTTCACAAAACGGCTAGCCGCCATTTTAAAAATTTCGGTTTTGTTATATTCACCTGTAGGTGAATATAACAGCTTAATACGTCAAATTTGACCAATCAACTTGTAGGATTTGTTATGTTCACTTGTGCAAAAATACTAATCTGGCTTAGCTCACATTCTCACATTCCAAGCGAACTTCGATACAGCTCCGTAAGTTAATTCCCTAATACATGTTGTTTTAATTTTCGTTCAAACTTGAGGCCAGTTATGAATCGCGTCTGAATTTATAAAATCCACAGCTTTGGAAAGGTAGCGTGCCAAGCTGCACGCATCGCCCATCTCATACGCCACCTATGAATAGCGCAAAATTATCACTCAAACCTTTCGAATCGAGCCTGATAAAATTAATCCAGATTGTTGAAAAGGTAACGTGCCATGCTGCATGCATCACCTGTCCGATAGTCTAACCATCAATAGCGCAAACTTATCGCGGAAATTTCACTCCAGTTTCAAATCGAGTCTGATAAAATCCAGATTATTGGAAAGGTAGCGTGCCAAGCTGCATGCATCACCCACACCACAGCCCATTCATCAATAGCGCAAAACTATCATGCAAATGTGTCACTACGCCGGAAGTGACGTCATCAAGCCAGGATGACGTCAGAGTTGATCTTATTTGAGGGTTACGGATTTATGATAAAAATCGAGACAAATTAAGGAATCTTTGAAAAGAGATACGCGTATAGTTGAAATATACCCAACATAAATGAATAGTTGTGCAAGTACTGTCCAGTAATCTCCACGATAATTGAGCTACATGTCGATCGTATTATAAGTATACACATTCTACACATATGTCTTAACTTACACTTGAAGATAATATCCCACGCGAGTGGTGAAAGTCCCTTTATAGGTTCAGTAGAAAAGTTCCTTAGCTGGTGATAATACGGTAAGGCGCATTACGTCTGCGCATAATATATCAAATAATCAGTTTATGATCAGCCAATCAAGCAGAGTCCTTGCTGGTCCCAGCATGACACCACCGCGTCAATTGTTGTTTCGATAAGATAATTAACGCAATGTATCTCTGACCTTGGAGGCTTGGAGCAACTATTTGGAATTTTATTACAAATGATAATTGCATCTCAAGTGTGAAAATCGCGCGCCGGCACAAGGATGAAGAAAACTAACACCCATAAAATACCATAAAAAATCAAACATGCGCCGTAACATTCCGCAACATATGCGAACGAATACACGCATTCGACTAGCAAAGGCTTTCGTTGAAACGTCGACGTATTTCCTCAGGTTTACAACTATGAATATTACCAACAGCCGTCTCCATTGGAAACGAAGCAACGACTTGTGTGGGTCGGTGGGATGGGGGTGGCGTGGGTGTTGTGTGGGTGGCGTGGGGTGTGGGTGGCGTGGGGTGTGGGTGGCGTGGGGTGGCGTGGGGTGCCCTTAACCTAATGTTTGATTGTTTGAGAAAGGCAATTTCTTAGGGCAAATTTATCAAATGCTCAAGAAATTAGTCGAGCAAATATACGTTCTAATTATTACTCCTCCTCCTCCCCCAATACCCCCAGGGTCTCGCATCATCGGCACTCGATGCTTGTGCCTTTGTCGCCACCCATGGGGAGCCTCATAAACGTTTCTTGCCTTTCCCAGCCCCCTTAATACATTATTTAGACCAAAGTTACGCCCATAATTGCAGCTTTGAGTACAATTTTACCACGACTCAAAACGCGTACATTGAACGCCAGTAAGTACAATTTGCCTAATAAAATGTTAAAAATATTTCATGCGCACCACGAATTAAACGCAACAATTTACTTCCGATATGCATAATGTGCGCAATTCAAACTTAACAACACACAATATCATCATGTCTATAATTTAGCAACGCGATAACACAAACATGAAAAATAAAACTCGCTGAGATAACAAATTTATGTCAACAAAATATTTAACAAACATACCTTGGGCAAAGATCCAACGAAGTAGAATTCAGTGCAATCGAAAAACGCGCTGGAGCAAGTGATGGAGTTGTCTCTACGAACGTTGGTCAGCAAGAAATGAGAGCACTCGCTCGTCTTTCCGATATATAAGACTGTCCGGGATTAATGATACTTAGATGCTGAAAGGAAACAGATAAAAAGTGAATTAATCTTATTATATATAGCGATTTAACGGCGCTCTAATTGAAGTTACCTAATGAGGTGATTAAGTGTTTGCTGAAGTATTGGTCGTTCTAATACAAGAAGTAAGAACTTCTCTCTTCACGCATCTGAAAAGGACAGGAATTTAGGGGTAAAATTTGAAATCTTGGTGAGGTTTTGTTTTATATTGACACACGCTCTCGGTGAAATTTGCAAAACCGGCGCGGTTTCCGTTTTGAGCGAGAATAGCGCGGCAATGATGGCCGTGCGCTTCCGCGCGCTTCGATCCGAATTGTTTGCGATTTCACATTGGAATATCGAGATCAGATGCAGTATACCCAACTGTAGAAAGCAAATGGCGCACTATCGAATTTTCCAATGTGTGAAAGTAAATTAAATACAGGAATTAACGCTAGCGTCCATAATTTACTACTTTATTTCAGACTGACGCAAATTGTCTGGCCGGTTTCATGTTCACACGGAAATTGGTCCGGTTTCCTAGTACATCCCGCAAGGCTTCCCATGGGAATTCGAAAGTCGATATGAACCCATCCAAGATTTCCGCTGCGCATCCAATTTTATAAATGACGCGTTTTGTGTGTAGATAAATTACAGTCGAAGTGCTGATGAGCATGCTGCTCGCGGGCTGGAAAATTTAAGACAAGATAAAACAAGACAAAGATTTTATATTTTTTATTTATTTAACAATTTTATTGAACAAAGTTTTAAACACAGCATTTCCATATAGAAGTAAGTGGAATTAATTTATACCCAAATGGATAATATCAAGCACGAACGAACGAGACATAGGCCTTTTAAAGTCCATGCAAGGACAAGGTGCTTACAATTCTTAAACTATACAAAACAATAAAATAGAACACAGTACAATACAAACTCAATTATTTCGGCTAAGTTCTATGACATGGTGGGCCATTGCATTTCTATGTCAGCGAAAATTGTTCATTATTTACATTTTTTAAAAATAAGTAGAATTAATCCTTAAAGCGAGTTACAATTATTACGAAAATAGTGGAAAATATATACATGCATTGTGGAAAATATATAAACTTATAATAATAGGAAATGATGCTTCAATGCAATGATGCTTAATTAAAAGTGACGCCATATTTACAACAATATAAGCAAAACTTACTGAACTTCAGACATGATTTTCTCTTTGGCGTACCATCTAAAATCTCTTCAATTTAGTATTATTTTACAGATAAAGCACTAAACATACTTTTTAAGTTTGTTTTCCGCTTGAGAAACGTCAAACGATATCGTATTTGAATTACTCGGTCATAACCGCAAGTGGTATATTAAACTCATTAGTTTTGAGCGCGTACGTGTCACTTAACATACAAAAAATTTCCTCCTCTTAATGGACAACTTGCATGTTAGACTAAATTTTAATCTAAGTAGAGAGAAGGGAATAAAACACAACAGTTAAAAAGAAAATAATGAAATTAGTAAAATTGCAAAATTTGGTTGCGAAATGTTGTAACATGCAGAAAATAAAGCCTTGCGAAGTTTGCATATTTTCAGTATATTTGTATTACGTGCGGAAATTGTTACCATTTTCGGCTCAAAAATGGTAACAATTTCCGCACGTAATACAAACATACTGAAAATATACAAACATCGCAAGGCTATTTTTTATGTATTTTACAACATTTCGTAACCAAATTTTGCAATTTTACTGATTTTAATAAGTTCTTTACTGGAATTTACTTTTTTTGCCTAAATCAAAAATTAGTCTAACATGCAAGTTGTCTATTCTTCCAATCTAGCGCTTCATGTTGTGATTCAACAACGCGTCATTTAAAATTGTAAAATTTTGATATAGCAC